CTCCAACTCTTGGGCTTAAGTGATTCTCTTGCCTCAGCCTCCCAAGTATCTGGGACTACAGGTGCCCGCCACAATGCCCAGCTATTTTTTTGTTGTTGTAGTTGTCATCGTTGTTTGGCAAGTCTGGGCCAGGTTCAAATCCATCATCCCTGGTGTATGTGCCCAGCGCCCTAGCCACTGAGCTACAGCACCAAGCCAGCTCAAAATAATCTTATGTCAAAGTGGTATATTTGGGGGTGGCAGTTTCTTCCACCCTTCAACTCCCTGGGTCTTTGTCCCAAACTTTATAAAGCAAAATAAGGATTTTACAGACTTATGTTAGGTTGATGCACTTATTTAGAGAGGGCTCTAACTGATACCAAAGTCTTAATACGTCAGATAGTCTGACTCTTTTAGAACAAAAGAAAGGCATTATGCAGATGACCAGCCTTTTAAAAGCCATCCTAATTGCTTCTTGCCTTTTGACTAAGATCTAGTGGAGCAACAGCTGCTCTGCCTTGAGATCCTCCCAAGAAGTTACTAGGAGATGGACTGAAGACTTAGTTTAGCATCCCCTACAAAACCACTGCTATTTACAATTTCATGTTATCAGTAATGTCAATCATTTGTATTATTGGAACAGAATTATATCTATAACTATAATCTAGAAATATTCTTACCTCTTTCCAGACAAACACAGACATGCTTCAGCATGGCCAGATGATAATTGTTTCAGCCTGCTTGGCTGTGGATGGCCAGGTTCTCACACAAGAGAAACCAACCACAGCTAACTTTCTCTAGTTGTTTTGACTGTTTTATTTGTGGAATCAGTTGATAATATTATTGAATATTATCAAATCAAAAATGAATAATTTGGAATAAGACCATTGTCAAAAGTTACATTACAGAAATAATTCAAAAAGTTCTATAGGTTCACATTGCACAGCTATGTAGTCTGACTCACTCTGCCCCAAATAGCTGCAATATATTCTTGTGTGTGTGTGTGTGGTGTGTGTATGTGTGTGTATAAATGTATAGGCTCTTGAAGGACAGTGCTGTAAACATGCCTGAAGATTATATTAGACATTACACTTAGCAGAACACTATATATAAGAGCTTATCAATTTTGACCAAAAGTTTTCCTGAGCCCACAGTAAAAAAGTGAATGAGAGTAGAGAATAAACCCAGGTCATTATTTCAGATTTGAAGGAAAACATGGCTGTTAATATATATGCATTTTCTTTCCCAAAATGACATAATGCAAATCTGAGTCCCTCCCTGTCTTTGCACCGTCATCCATAATTTTTTACAGCCCACAGGCACATGAAGATCTTCAACACCCACAGCAACTCCAGCACCATCACTGGCTTCCTCCTCCTGGGCTTCCCTTGCTCCAGGCAGGGCCAGATCCTCCTCTTTGTGCTCTTCTCTGCTGTCTACCTCCTCACCCTCATGGGCAATGCTTCCATCATCTGTGCAGTGCGCTGGGATCAGAGACTCCACACCCCCATGTACATCCTGCTCGCCAACTTCTCCTTCCTGGAGATCTGCTATGTTACCTCCACAGTTCCCAACATGCTGGCCAACTTCCTCTCTGACACCAAGGTCATCTCCTTCTCTGGCTGCTTTCTCCAGTTCTACTTCTTCTTCTCCTTAGGTTCTACAGAATGCTTTTTCCTGGCAGTTATGGCCTTCGATCGATACCTTGCCATCTGCCAACCTCTGCATTACCCCACCCTCATGACTGGACATCTCTGCAACATCCTGGTGGGCAGCTGCTGGGTACTGGGTTTCCTTTGGTTCCTGATTCCTATTATTTTCATTTCTCAAATGACCTTCTGTGGGTCCAGGATTATTGACCACTTCCTATGTGACCCAGGTCCTCTTCTAGCACTCACTTGCCAAAAATCTCCTGTGATAGAGTTTGTCATCTCCATCTTAAGTCCTCTTCCTCTCATCATTCCCTTTCTCTTCATTGTGGGGTCCTACGCTCTGGTCCTGGGAGCTGTGCTGAGGGTCCCTTCAGCAGCTGGGAGAAGAAAGGCTTTCTCCACCTGTGGGTCTCATCTTGCTGTAGTTTCATTGTTTTATGGCTCAGTACTGGTCATGTATGGGAGCCCAACATCTGAGCATGAAGCTGGAATGCAGAAGATTGTGACTCTGTTTTATTCTGTTGTGACCCCACTCCTGAACCCGGTGATATATAGTCTTAGGAATAAAGATATGATAAAAGCCATGCAGAAATTTCTGGGAATGTAAAGTATTAATCAAAATGATTGTTGGGTGATTAAACTTGTATTTAAAGTATTTTCATGGCTCCACACCTGTGGTTCAGCAGCTAGGGTGCCAGCCACATACACTGGAGCTGGCAGTTTGAATCTAGCCCAGGCCTGCTAAACAACAATGACAACTACAACTAAAAATAAATAAATAAATAACCGGGCATTGTGGCGGACACCTGCAGTCCCAGCTACTTGGGAGGTTGAGGCAAGAGAATGACTGAAGCCCAAGAGTTTGAGGTTACTGTGAGCTATGACGCCATGGCACTTTACCCACAGCGACATAGTGAGACTCTGTCTCAAAAAAATAATAATAATAAAATAAAATAAAGTTATTTTCAGGTTGAAAACACCTGCTTTCATCCAATTGTTCATCTTAGTATTGACCAAAACTCAAAACACCTATATGCATGTTTCTGTGATTTCTTCTTTTGGATCTCGATCATGTCCTGTTGTTTAGCATGCCTCAGTTTTTTTAATTGATTACTAAGCATTATATTTTAAAAATTGTAAATACATGGATATAGTAACTCAACCAAGTTTAAGTTTTCTTCTAGCACGTAAATAGAGCAGAGGCAGATCTCTTTGCTTCCATTTAAGAATTCTTTTTAGGCAGTTTTTAAATGCTCTGTGCTAGTTTTGGGGTTACTCCTAGAGTGTGGCTCTTACTCCCGGAACATGGCCTTTCTGAGATCTCAGTTGCACACCTTTACTGTTTAGAACACCCCTCCACTCTGGTAGGTCCTGACCTCCTATTTTTGTACTACCCCCTATGAGACTATCTCAGGACAGAACTTGGGCTTCCCTTCCAACCAAGAGAGACAACATAGGGCAACATGACCCAGCCTAGTTAACAGTAAAAAAGAAAAAACAAATGACCTCTTAGCTGCTGGAATATGGCCTACACCCACCTTAGAAAGGGGCCAAATTGTCTCTTGAGTAATATTGTCCTGGACCACTGAAGCCAGAGGCTGATGCCAGCTGATAAGGACCCTAGCTACAAAGAAAACAGACCTATCTGTATCTAACCACCTCAAACCAGAGAAGACCCCCATACTGTCCTTACTCTGATTTTTCCTCATTATCATCTCATTTTAATGCTAAAAATCATGTCCAAAAATAATGTCCAAGGGTTGAGATTCAAAATGCTAATGATACATGTGATGCATGACGAAACATGACCACCAAGTACACAGCTGCCAGCAGAACCCTGCCTACATGGGTGGGTTCTGCTGGCAGCTGAACACACATTCCCACATATGATGACTTCAGAACTGACACCTATCTTCATAGAAGTTCCCCAGCCCTTTGGTCAGAGAGCCAATCTGGTTACCCCTCAAATCCAGACATACCTCAGAAAATAACTATCTTTCCTTTTCCTTTCTACTGACGGAAGGAAGATCAAGAATGCAACCAGATCTGCCAGGTAAAGCTTTGTATAACAGTAAGAGAACAACATCCCCAAAGGAAAATAAGCAAAAAGATATAAACAATTAACTTCCAGAATAGATTCTTAAAATTGTAGAAAGAGCAAAATAACTCATTCATAAAAAGATAAAGGTAGAATAAACCTATGATGGTATCTGATTTTTCACTTATTAGATTGAAAAAGATCAAGTTTGGAAATATATTTTAAAGTTGAGGATGGTGAAATGGCCTATTTCACACTTAGCCAGTGGGAGTACAAGATGACAAACTTTACCTGGGGTGAGTAGGCAACTTCTGTCAACGTTCAGAAGGGACGTGCCCTTTAACCCATCAATTCAGCTTCTGAGGTGTTTAGCCTATAGATATTCTCACTGGCTGGCGGCGTCTGTGGCTCAAAGGAGTAGGGTGTTGGCCCCATATACCAGAGGTGGTGGGTTCAAACCCAGCCCCAGCCAAAAACTGCAAAATAAAAAAAAAAAATAGATATTTTCACACATGTAGGAAATGATGAAAGTATAGAGCATTGTTGTAAAAACAAAATATTGAGAAAAACCTCAGTTCCCAGTAGCAGAAGCCTAGTTAAATAAGCTTTGGTCAGTCATACAATGGAATACTTTATAAAAGTTTCCGTTTATAGAAAGAAAAAAAATACCTAAAGTTTCCATTTATAATGATATATAGTAATACCTCAAGACATTAAGTGAAAAAAAAAGGTGACTAGCAGTGCATTGTAGCTACCTACCACGTAAATGCATATGGTATCTCCTGAAATAACACCAAGAAATGTTAACAGGGGTTGTTTGTGCGAGCTCTGTAGAATTTGGTGTCTGAAGAACAGGAAAGCAAAGGGAGCTGGGGGCGGCAGAGTGCGGGGAAGGGCCTCGGCAGCGCCACGGGTGCTTGTCGCTCACCACTGGTACTCGCCCCTCACTGGACCACGGAGGCGGGATGGAGCATGAGGGGAGCGGTGGCAGCAGGGGGTCGCCTGGGCTCCTGCAGCAAATCCTCAGCCTGAATCTCGTGCCTCGGTGAGCACCGGGACCCTGTGCCCCAACTCCACGTCTCTCCGTTCCTTGTTCCTTCCCAGGTTTAGAGGTCAGAAGTCTGAAATAGGTTTCCCTGTGTTAAAACCAAGGTGTCAGCAGGGCTGGGTTTCTTCTGGAGGCCCTACCAAGAATTTATTTCCATGCCTTTTCCAGCTTACACCACCTGCATTTCTTGGCATTTGGCCCCTTTTCTTCAAAGGCAGCGGTATAAAGTCTTTAAATTTCTCTGACTTTGACCTCTGACTCTGTCTTGCGGGGACCTTCGTGATTACATTAGACCCATCAGGGAAACCAGGCTACTCTACCACAGCAAAGTCCTGGATTTAATCACATCCGCACAGTCCCTTTTGCCAGAATGTAACAGGTGAATTGTCATTAACCCACTACCGGGAAGTAACAACTTTTTATAATTCAATATACACCACAGGGTGCATGTTGATGAGGGCTAGCCTCTGGGCGCGGGCAAGGTTCTTAACCTCTGAGGCTTCCGGGTCTCGCCTATGGGCAGGGATGTGGCGTGGCTTGCTCCTGTGGCACTGGTGTCTTCGCTCCCCCACCCCCCCACCCCCCCACCCCCGTCCCTCTTGGATTTTTGGCCCTCATTACCCGCAGACACCACAAATGTGAGAAAGTGGCCTAGTTTCTCTGTTCTAACTCTATCACCTGCTGCTGCTTTAGAGACACTCTGAAGTTCCTTAAGGTTCTTCCTACCCAACCCACTCTGGGGGTAGATAAATTTCAGAGGGGCCCAGTGAAACATGTGCCTTTCAGATGTTAGTAACAAAGAATGTCTGTATTGCCACTGGGTGTGGGTATTTTAAATAGCAATAGTTCAAGGCAACCAAAACAGATATTAGTTAGTTAATATTTTCATTTCTTTTCCTTAGGTTATGTTAATATATCTTTATATCACATTTATAAAATGTTTAGAGTTGTCATTGAGACACTATGTATTATTTTGTACTAATATTATTGAAAATGTGTTTCTAGCTGGGCGTGGTGGTTTGCACCTGTCTAGTACTTTGGGAGGCCCGAGGCCAGTAGATTGTTTGAGCTCAGGAATCTGAGGCCAGGCCCAGCAAAAAGAATAGGACCCCATCTCTACTAAAAATAGAAAAACTACTTTTTTCTATTGTGGCATTGTGGCAGGCACCTATAGTCACAGCTTCTTGGGAAGCTGAGGCAAGAGGATCTCTTGAACCCAAGAGTTTGAGGTTGCTATGTGCTATGAAGCCATGGCACTCTATCCAGGGCAACAGAGAGAGACCATGCCTCAAAAAAAAATGTGTTTCTGTCTTGTGTCCCCGGTAGATTCTGAGTACCTTGAGAATAGGGATCCCTCCTTATAAAACAGACATACTATGCAAAAAAATACTTAAATGGGAAAAAAGAGAAAGAGAGTAAAGGAAACATTTTCTTCATAACCCTTTTTGTGCTTTCAAATTCTATACCATGTGCTTGTGTTATTTATTTTAAAAATAAATAATAATAACATAGGTGTTTTTAAACAAAGAACAAATTTCTAGGGAAGCTTTCTGATCATTAGATCTAGAAAATCACTTCTCCCACAAGTCTAGGGTTCCTTAGGAGCCTATTTTTGATAGGAAAGTTAAAGCAGGGTCCTCAGAGTGTTGTTGAAACCCAAGGAGGGTTCTACCTAGGTCCAGCTGCTCATCATACAAAGATCCAGTTGTTGAGATAATGAGGATTGCCAAGGAAGAAAAAAATTTTTTTTAATTTTTTTATTAAACCATAACTGTGTACATTGATGCATTTATGGGTTTCAGTGTACTGATTTGATATACAATGTGAAATGCTTACACTGAATGAAGCAATACATCCATCACAATTATACTCTTTTCTTAATAGTTTTGAAATGTACCATTGGGTCATGCACATTAGGTGAGGTCCTCCCAAATACCTCCCTCCTCCCACTGCCCCCCTTCCCTCCCCTCTTTCTCTTCTTTCCTGAAAAAAGGAATTTTTAAAAACAGAAACATCTTATCATCTTAACAGGAGGGAGAATGGGAGAAGCTGCCTCAAATCTATATCCCTGACTAATGGAGATCATGGGCTTTTCAAAGAGAGACAGGTTAGGTGGGATAGTGAATTTTGGCATTAGAAAGTCTGCCCAGGAGCCTTCAGAATCTTAGCTCTTTTGTATTGCAAAAAAATCCATCATTTCTGGGAAATAGCTCAGAAGATTAAATAAGGAAGAGGACTATAAAAAACATACAGGAATCATTAAAATGAGTTCATAGTGATGATTAGAAAAGGCCCTTAACCATCATTTCAAACTGTTTGGTACTTTCTTTTTTTTTTTTT